GGGACCCTAGGAGGCTGCCCTCAGCCGGATCTGGCCCAGCTGAGCTCCTCTGATTCCAGCAGAGGCTCCTCGGGGACCTGCTGGGACCTGCAGGTATGCAGGCCGCCCTGGAGAGCAGCTTGTTTCCTGTGAGCACACAAGCAGGTGTCCCTGCTGCCTCCACCCCAGTCCCTGCTCCCACGAGGGGGAGAGGGGAAGTAGAGATGCCCAGGCCAGATGTGTGCAAATCAACAAGCTGCTCCTGGCTTGCTGCACGTGTCTCGTGATTCCCTGATGCCCTGAAAGCTTCCTCGGAGGACGTGCAGGAGCCTCTTCAAAGGCTGTGCGTGCGCAAGAGGAAGGCGCACATGCGAAGCTTTGTCTCCACCCGCCTCCAAGGGGAGCATCGCAAGAGTGGGGAGGGCACGCAGCAGAGGGAGGGCAGCTCCCAGGGAGGGTGGGGCACCCCTGGAGGGCAGGCTCCTCCGTGTCCAACCACACCTGCCTTCGCGGAGGCCCACTTCCTGCACCCTCAAACACCAGCAGGCCATGGAGCTACAGAGCTCAAGTCCTGGCTCCCCGCTTACTGGCTATACGACCTCGGAAAGAATGCTCAAGCTCTCCCTGCCTCAGTTTTCTCACCTGCAAAATGCAGATAATCGTAACACTATCCCATAGGGTTGCTACAGGATTAAATTGGCTAACACATTTGGGCTTGGAACAGTAAGCAGCTGGCATGAAACAAACAAGCAATACATGTTAGCTACTGTTGATAATTACTGTCGTCATCATCATCATCATCATCATCATCGTTGCCAAGGCCCCTCTCTTAGCCCCATGGTGTTACACTGCCAGGTATCATGGTCTCATTAAGGCTACTGAACCCCCACACAGAGGAGCAGCCCCAAACCCCAGCCTGCTGCCACTAAGGGCATATCCAGGGCTGCAGCATCCAGACCCATTTGGAAATTGCTGGACTCCAGCCCCGGATCTCAGTGCTGTTTGGACAGCTTGCTGGTTCCACCAGCCTCGATTCACAATGCCCCCCGCCCCCCGAGTCCTGCTTTATTCAAATCCTACCTGGCCTTGGCCAATTCCCCCGCCCCAGATCTAGCCTCAGTGCCCAGCCCAGCCTCCGCACAGAGACACCCCACTCCTCAGCCCAGCCCCTGAAGTCAGGTTCATGGCCAACACCATCAGCACACACAACAGAAAATCCGTCTGTTCTCTCCAGGTCCCGACCCAGCATCTTCGTGCTTCCAAACCAAGTCAGTCTACCATCTGACACTTGTGCCAAGAGCTCATGACGGGAAAGGCATGATCATTTCAGCTTCTACAACCTTTGCTGACAATTCCCCGCCCGGCCTGGAATCACCAGTCCTAGGAACAGACTCCCTGCGGGCACCCTCAGGGATGTCTGCTGCGTGGCCTGCTGCTCCGGGCGGACGGATGTCTGCAGCCCAGCACCGCACCTGCCCCCTCTCTGGGGCCACCGCACATGCTGATGTGGTAGAATTATAATTGGTCTTACTTTCTTGGAACAAAATCCCGAACACGTCTCCACTGTCACGTTGGCCTGTATCAGGGAGTCGGGGAAAGCGTGTGTGATGTTCTCCGGCAGCCTGAAGCACCCACGGTACGTGACCGACCTCCCTGGGGGAAAAACAGGATTTCGGTGAGAAACGGTGCTCCTGGTCGTTGGCGCCTGTCACGAGGGAAACTGGTGGCTTCTGTGTTTCAGCACGTGAAGGGGCGTCCTCAGGAGGGCGGGTTTCACATCAGAGAAGGCAAACTGCCCTAGACGGGGTGTGGCCAAGCCAAGACCCTGGGGGAAGCCAGGCACCAGGACCTTGGTCACCCGGGATCACCGACAAGGGGCCGCTTGTCTGACTTCAGGTCTCACTATTCCCACCAGCTCTTGGGGGACGGTGTCCATTCACCTTTCCTTCCTTTCTTCCTGCCTCCCTCCCCCTACCCCTCCACAAAATCCAGACTGTGCGTCCATCGTGAGCCAGATTGGGCACTAGGGAACCTGCGAGGCAGATGTTCTGGAAAAGCGCATGACATCCCCGTGAATGTGCAGAAAAAAAAGCAGGCCTGGAAATCAGCATCCTGCCAGGTTCCCGTCACTGCGCCAC